GCATGGTGTAAGCGATATTTTCCTCCGCAGCATGCCTCATTTATTGACGATGGTTGAGTGGCATGACAAAATAAAGATTGAGCTGCATCAAACAGGTTCTCGCCTACCGTACTACCATTTTTTTCTTCTCTGAAAAGACCAGTACTGCGTTGTTTGCCTTGTTCATCATGTCCCGTATACAGAAAAAAGAGCGACTCAAGAATTATTGAACTATGCTGTAAAATATCCAGTACATACAGAAGCCTTCTGGCTAGTATTGTGGTAATAAAATGACGTCACTAAGAGGCATGTTCAGGCTTTGTCATAACCCAAAGTATTTCTGAATTTGTTCCTAATTGTTTTATTGTGTTAAATCACTACAGAAGTATGCCTCTTACTGTTTATTGCTTTCTTTATTGAAAGTAAATCTAGACAATGCACATTGCGTGCTAATAGCATAGTGTCTTCCTCGTCCAAGTGTACTGTGGTGCACACGCAGTGAAGAAATATTCGTGAGCGCACACAGCACCACGGCGTTTAGAAAGAGCAAACGAGATTCATTGATTGATTGATTTATTGAATGATTAATATGTGAGGTTTATTGTCCCAAACGCACGATATGATTATAAGAGACGCCGTAGTGGGAGTTCAAGAAATGTTCACCATCTGGGGCTCTTTAACGTGCACCAAAGTCTGAGCACACGGGCCTACAACATTTGCGCCTCGAACAAAAATGCAGCCGCCGCAGTCAGGATTCGATCCCGCAACCTTTGGGGCAGCAGCCGAGTACCTTATCTCCTAGATCACCACGGCGGGGCAAGAGCAAACGAGGTATGCTGTAAAACTTTGCTTGTAGCACCCCATTATCACAAGTTAAGGCTGGGAGATTAGCGTCGCTCAATGTTTAGTGCAGATTATTGACCCAGTTCCTACACTAACAATGATATCCGTGCGCTGGACGGCAATGCGGCAAGCAAGATCTGCCGTAGCGGATGATACGGTTTCCGGGTTTCGGCACCACGATGCAAAGGAAAACTACCGATCAGCGAAGAAACCAGACCAAATGCCCTTTCTTGTTTCCAACTTCCTCCTCTTCTCTTGCAGTACTAGCCTGCACAGGTTTATTTCTTTTCTTTTTCAACATACTCCCGCCTCCCAGTATCGTCGCTCAAGTCCAGTCTGTACAATTTCTGTACTGGTTTTCTCAAAAACTTCCCGTCTTGAGCTTTCACTCGACATGCTCGTGTTATACCATCTTGTCCAGGGTAAACGCCAGTGATTCGCCCAAGGGGCCAAACTCCTCTGGAAATGCCAGGCTCTTCGATGATCAACACATCATTTACTCGGAGGCAGCTGCCGGGATGAGCTGGGTATAGGTGAAGTGCCCGTTGTTCTTATAAATACTGTTTTTTCCATCGCATCCACAGGTGATCCACATCCACATGTGATTCCATCGCATCCACATCATCTTCTATTGGTATCTCAACTTTTGCTGATGTCTGTTCGACTAGCTTGAGCACTGATGGCATCATAATCATTGTTGCTCTGATCCGGAGGCGCTAACAATGAACGTCCAACAAGAAAATTCGCTGCACATATTGGAGAGGGCTCTTTGGCGTCCGTTTACGTGTAGGTCAGCGGTCTTGAAGTAACAACCGCTTTTACCTCTAGTAGCATCGTTTCAGCTTGTTCACTGCTGAGCTTGCATTTTTCCCATCACCTTGCGCAACGATGACTTGACAGTCCGAACAAGCCTCTCGCACTAACTGCCCCGTCAAGGTGCACTTGGCGCAATAAATTTCCACTCTATGCGGTAGTACAGCTGAAAAGATGCGAATGGAGAGCTCTTCATGACACTCTAGATGTTCCTAAGGTCCCGTGACGCTCTCTTAAAGGCGAGAGCGTCATCCGAGTTCATTGTTGCGGGTACTCCTCTGTGCACGGTCATCCAGCAGTCGGTCATTAAAGGACTTGCACTGCTCCCGACTTTCTAGCTCTGTACGTGTATAGGTGAGCAGCTCCTTTAACTCCGCATCAGATGTAGTAGCTGTCACGCTTGGCTCAAAGACATTGGCAGCAGACCCTTTTTCTATTAGTGCCTGACTGCGCTTTGCACGTGTGTAGGCCAAAATGATTTCGTACGATAGGGCTTTCTGTAAAATGTCGATCAGCATAGCGGAAAAGCTAAGTGTAGGAACATTTAGTGCAGTTAGAAAACGGGTATTCAGCTGCACAGCATCGTAAAGCCGCCTAAGGCCACGGACGTCGCTTCCCGACTTGATGTGAGGTAGGATGCGAAGCGCTGATAGGTGGTGTTGCTCGATCCGTTTTCGATCTCCGAAGCGTTCCTTTAATAACTTGATGGCGTCTGCATAACAGGCTTTGAAAGTCGGAAAGCCACATATCGCCGCTGCCGCTTCACCCGCAAGATGATGGCGTAGATAGAATAACTTCGTCGTTGTTGGCAAAGCGTTGTTTAGGTGGACAGTTTGCTCAAACTGCTCCTAAAAAGCCGACCATACATGTATATCAGCTCTAAATGTTGGCATGCCAAGGTTCGGCAGCCTTGGTCAAAATGCCGTCGGCACGTCAGAAGGTGATGGGTTTGCGTTTTGAGGAGCAGCCGCTGCTGTACTGTCTCCATGTCGCAAACCGTCTATCTTGCAGCGAATCTCAGCGAGGATGCTTATAGCTTTGTAGTTATACTCTGCTGCCGCGACAAACTCAGCTTCGAGCTCCTCGTCCGCTACGTGCTCCTCGAGCGCATCATTGTTCTTCGAGAGCTCGTTGTTGCTCGCTGACAAACGGTCATGAATACCTGTGAGCTTGGGCTTGTCCGTGGTAGGGTCACTTAACAGTGACCTTGCTTCTTGCAGGAGCTTGGTGTTCTGGGCTCGTCGAGTGGAGTGCTTGGTCTTGAGGCAATCTATCGGATCCGGTGTTGGAGTCTAGTCCGGCCTATGCCGATCAGAAACAATCCGTTGCAGTCCTTGCCGCCCGCAAAACGAAGCGGTCGAGTAGAAGGTCCCCTCGAGTCGTGCGATGAAGGAGACGTGTCCGCATGACGGGGTTTCGGCACCACGATGTGAAGGAAAAATACCGATTGGTGCTACACTTCTGAATTGTCTGCGCACGCGCATGCTGCTGACGGCGCGTGGTTTCAGCGTTGTCCCCATCACAATGTCATGTGCTTCAAGATTTCCCTTGAGAGTGAAAGAGCCTGTACAGATGGTAGTCACTGCGACAGCCTAAACAAACTGCGAGTGCGAAAACAGACCTAAATACTACAGTCAAAGGAAAGAATTATTTGTATCTTCTAAGGGTGCCAAGACTTCCTTTCACTGCTACAAGAGGTTGAAATATTTAACGTTTTTCAGACAGAAAGTGTGCCGAAAACATACGACAGCGACCACTTGCAATACCTTCACTGATTCGCATACTATCATATTTGAATCCGCGCAAATCAAAATGTTTCAAGACCTCTCAGAGACTCATTTCCTACCTACATTGCATTATTTAGGATGAAACTCAGCACGCCAGAATAATAAAAAAAAAAGATTACAGCATATCTTCGGAGTGAAAAATTATCAGTAGGGTGAAGCTTCGAAGGGTTTTATCGGTAACTTTGAATCGACCATACGGTCTGCCTTTTCGCCCATCTGTTCGTTCATCTGCCTGCCTGCCTGCCTGCCTGCCTGCCTGCCTGCCTGCCTGCCTGTCTGTCTGTCTGTCTGTCTATCTGTCTGTCTGTCTGTCTGTCCATTCATCCGTCTATCCGCGCGTTAGTCTGTCTGTATGTTAGTGCCTGTCTGTGTGTCTGTCCGTCCGTTCGTCCGTCCGTCTGCTGAGTGAGTCATAGAACTAGGCGGTCATATACCAAGAGAGACATGTATGTACCGGCCCACGGCTTAAGGCAATTCTCCCCTAAAGAGTAAAGGACTGCAACTGCAACCGTACAAATACCTTTCATAGAAACACGGAGCAATGTCGGCTAGATAGCTGACAAACCTCCTTGCTTCGGACGCCCCAGAGAGTTGCCAGACAAGGGACAGTGGCGCCCACTATGAAGTATGGTGGAGCCTACGTTAAAAATGTCTGCTCGTTTTAAGAAAATAATGAAGTGTTTGGGGAGTACTATACTGCTACACAACAATAGTCGTCATCTGACCTGCTCGCGTTTCCTTTTCGAAAACTCTGCGCTGGCCCCTTTTCTGCTCTACAAGGCATGCCACACTAATAGACAGTTACAGTATGCCGGGCTTACCGGGATACCGGGCATACCGTGATAGCGGGATCGAAGTGCCCGTGCGCAGATACGAACGTTACCCGTACTGCTTACCGTATACACGCACTATTTTTCAGATGTAATGCTCCCGTAAATGGTAGCGCAGATGTACGTAGAGTACGTAAAATATAGCAGTACTCTCCGACGCCCGCTTCGAAGTGATTTTGGCGTAGTTGTTGAAAGATTCACATTGTTCGTAGCAAACGACTATTTAAAGTGGCTGCGCTTGCCTTCGGTTAGCTGCGGCAACCGATTATTACTTATAAGACTGCGTAGTTTTCGAGATAGCTTCCCATTTCAAACGTGTGTAAGCCCAACTACAAGATTCGATGTAAACAAATTGGCAACATAAATGCTCTCGTGTTTGGTGCGTGCTTTATATTAATCTACTTTTATTATTACTAAAATAAACTCGTAACAATGTCTCACGCGGTGACACGGGCAAGCATTCTCGTTTATTCTCCTTTTCACTGGTATTCAACATATTGATCATTCGATAGGTGGCACCACCATCCCAGCTGGGGAACGTAATTCACGTAAACGCTATCCCGCTAAACTATAGGACGCTGCCCGCCACGAACGTACCTCACTGTCTAATAACGCGTGCGCCGTGCGCAACCGCCAACTACTTGTACCGTGGTGATAACGCGAAGAAAGTTCGATTATTGTAGTGTCGCAGAAACACTCCCCAGGTATTCGGTTTTTTCAGCAGTGCCTACGCCTAACAACTGGCGTTGCGGCGTCAACGTGATTGCGGGAGCGCGTTCGCCGGGACGAACGCCTGCTTTCGTCGGGACAAACGCCTGCATTCGTCGGGAGTCTCTCCAGAGGTACGTTAACTTCAGCTGTGATGTGTGTGACTGCTTGTGAATCGAGAACAATCATTGCGGTGAATGAATTGCGAAGCGCATTTAACCGCTCATTACATTCCTCGACGATCGTGATAATGCTAGGCACAGTGTGAGGCATGTGATATAATAACTGTGGTAAGTCAAAGCCAAATGTGTGTCTAACTTCATAGAAGCACGGACACGTAACCAATGATTGCGAAAGGCTTCAATGCCACGCCAGGTTCACCATCCTACTAAACGCCAGGTTCAAATGCTTCATGTTTCAGATTAGGAATCTTAATTTTTTTATCACACCAAGAAAGGTACAGAAGCTAAAGATATAGCAGTACCTGACAAAAAGCCTCTGTACCAGTTTTACAAAAAAGGAAACAGCATATATGTAGAAAATTATTTGTAGCATACAACTATTCGTTTCACTGTACAATGAAAAAAAAAACCACGGGTGCGAACGTTCGTTAACCATTTGAACAGAGCGGTTAGGCAGCTACATTTTAGATAGTTCTTTCACCAATAAGGAAGACTGTCTCCCGTATATATAAAAAAAGTAACTTCTCTCCTTAAACTTTACCTTTCAAAAACTGCAAAGAGAGCGGAATAAACAGTTTGCAGGTGGCGCTAAATAGATGTCATCCGCACGCCGCATCAGAACGATTGTAGGCTCAATGGCTTTCCAAAGAAGCGGTGAAAAGAGGCCTACAGTAATTGTTTTCATGTATAGACCGAGTAACTACGTGTTTTATGAATATGGCTTCCACAAAAAGCTTACCGCTAATTTTGTTTTGTCTTGGAGATCTTTCAAGTACTTCTCCACGACTGTCAAGTTCCTCAGAGGATTCCGTTGAGTCATCACTCAAGGTGGACTGTGGGCCTTCCGTGACGGGTTCTGAAAGTATTTCATGTTTAAAACAGAAGCATCAAAATGGGTCATCTTTGCCTGGTATATGACACTATATACCAAGCAGTTGTGGAGAGTTCGTTGACAAATAAGCTATGCTCTCCGCCGAATCAGCAGTTTCGTGGTGCACTTGAGCCGCATTCCTCCTTTTATCAAGGGTAGTCAGGAACTAAGCAACTAGAAATTTTAAAAGGATGCCTAAGTGCTGAGGCCCGTATACTTCAACTTTGAAGGCTGTTAGAAAAACCCAGGTGTCAAAATTAGCGGAGCCTTATAATAAGGTCTCTCTTATTCTAACGACTATTTGGGAGTTTAACCCAAATAATGAATATTTATCGGCTATACATCAATCTTCTAGTGGTTGGAGAGTGAATGCCTGCATTTTCACCTAAGATATATGGTAGCTTTATGTGTACATTTTAGCTGTGTATAATCAATGTTGTGTGCATCTGTGCTCATGCTTCCGTGAAAACGTTAAGGTGATATCTTCAAACCCAAAATATAAAAAACCAGTGCATTGTAAAAATACAGAACGTAATGAGCGAATATTGCAACTACAACTGACAGTACGAGAGGCAAGCCCTACCGCAACGACGATGAATGCATTTGTTCTATGTGAGGTTTGTATCTTGTTCTCCTGGCTAAAGTTCATTGCAGCCATACAGTTTCCTAAATATACACTACAGAGGAAACTCTCGCGCTAGTGTCTGTTGAAGATGGAATGCTTGGTACTTCAGCGGGCATGGGAATTCCGGGTAGAACACTAATTTGCCTATTCTTCGTTATTTATGCTCCTTGTGGCTTCGCGTGGCTTCGAACTGCTTTGTCACGAAACAACAATCGGAAAATGTTTGACAGTCACGCTTCACCCCCTTCACTATTTAGAATCAACATTTCAAATCAGCTCACAAACTTCAAAACGGTTTGTTCTTTAATACAAAACAAAACCAAAACTCAACAATAAACGAAGCCACAATTGCAATTCGCCGCCCGCAAGCAAGAAGACTAGGCAAATCTATGTCATACCCGCATCCCCACGGTCGCTGATTCATTGTAGCGACAGGGTCTCCTCTAGTTAACCTCAGGAAGCTCAATGCCACAGCACATCTACTTTGGTGGATCAATGGCTGAGGCGCTATAGGCTGGTAACCCGAGGGTTGCGTGTTCAATGAAAGCGATACGGTAAAGGGCCATGTACTGTGCGATGTCAGTGTACAGCCGTGGCCACATCTGTGTAGAAGCTCGAGCAGCCGGTTTTTGCTCTGCGGGGCGAAACCTTGGGGCAGTATCAGGCTCTGACATCGTCAGCCTAGTAACTGGGCCGTGCGGGCTCCTGATACACCACTTCAGAGCTCGAAACTGCCTCAAGGTTTCGGCCCACAGAGCAATAACCGGCTGCTCAAGTGCTCTACACAGACGTGGCCACGGCTGTACGTTAATTAAAACACCAGATGGTCAAAGTTTCTGGAGCCTTTCACTATGGGGTCTCTCATGAGCCTATCGTAGTTTCGGGACGCAAAACCCCAGATATTATTATTTGTCACGAACGGCCATTTTTGGCGGCCCCGCGTCACGGCAATTAACGGGCGCCGTACTTCCCCACTGACCGTGGGAACAGCGGGCGCATGAAAGGGAGCCGAGAAGTGCAGAATGGGGTGCTCTTCTTGGAACGTCGCCGTCGACGATTGATCCTTTTGTAACTGCGGCGGCGTCTGCAAGGTCGTGGAAGGCCGCGATGTACCCCGAACAACGATTAGGCTACGGGACGTACCGGCTGAGAGCCAAACAGTCTGACCATTTCCCACGGAGAAAAGCGTGGGAAACCCTCTGGTGGCCAAGCCGTATGACAACAACCCAACTGGTTGTCACTCTCGCTAGTTGAGGGTCCTCTCACAATTAAAGAAGGGGTGGGGTCAAAATATTTTTGGAGCGGAGTTTCCATCAATTAAACGCGCATGATTGGACCCATGTAGAGGTCTCTTGTCCCCAAGAAAGAGAGCGAGGAGACACAATAGGGATTTAAGCGCAGGATTTTGCCCTGCTAGGGAGGCTAGTCCTTGACCAACACGGTGTAGAAACAGATCAACAAGCATCTCTTCTAGAAGTTTTTAGTGTGGCTCTGTATCGACTAGCCACCTAAGCTTAGCCGTTCGTCTAGTTGTGACGCGATATTAACGTCTGCAACGTAGACATCGGGACTTCGCCTCGAGTTTGCTCAACCTGCTCGAAGTCGCCTGCAAGCACTAGCCTCCCGGAGCCACACGCGTAGCAACACCGCCGACATCGCAGTCGTGCCAGGACTCTCTTCGACTTCTCGCATCCGATCGTCGGGGACGCAACGCTGCCGGTCATCACACGTACGCCTTCACCTGTTTATATCTTCGAACTTTCTCCTCCGTAGTTCTATTGTTGTTAGTTTGTGTAGTTTGTAATAGTTCTCTCGTAAGCTGATTTATTGTTTTCTTTATATGTATTTTAGTTGTATCAAGTGTTGATGTATTTTGTTAGTTGTATTGAAGTGTTGTACTAGATCCCGTGTGCTGCAATATCACTAGAGTAAAGATTGTTTCGTTTTCTCACGTCTCTGATCTCTTCACTGTCTCTGCTTGCGTACAGTACGAACAACCTGATGTCATTTCTGTCGCCGACTTCGCGCTGGCGACACTAGAGTGGCAGCTTGTAACATTATTGAAGTCTTCCCCATAGACTCTCGAAGCGATTCTCCTAGCATTGATAATGAGGCAATTGACTGTAAGACGTTCAGATAGATCATTCAAAAGCTTTTATTATGCCTTTTGCAGAAGAGCGCAGTAGGGGTTGGTAAGAAAGTACACAGGATAGGAATGACGCTGACTAGCACCGGCATTTTATGAAAAAAACGATTTTATCCCAAAATATTATGCCGAGCACAGTCATGAACAGAATATCTCTGAAAAGGTCACTCAACGTATTGTTTTACCCCAGGGAATTCGGGTATCAACCAAGCAGAAAGATACCTTAGAGTGAATGCACTTATTCGGCTAATCTATTCAACTGCTCGAAAGCAAATTTAGTTCCTATGTCATCGAAGGCACTGGTGGTGCACTGATTCACGTGTCATCATCATCATCATCATCAGCCTGACTACGTCCACTGCAGGACAAAGGCCTCTCCCATGTTCCGCCAGTTAACCCGGTCCTGTGCTTGCTGCTGCCAATTTATACCCGCAAACTTCTTAATCTCATCTGCCCACCTAACCTTTTGTCTCCCCCTAACCCGCTTCCCTTCTCTGGGAATCCAGTCAGTTACCCTTAATGACCAGCGATTATCCTGTCTACGCGCTACATGTCCTGCCCATGTCCACTTCTTCTTCTTGATTTCAGCTATAATATCCTTAACCCCCGTTTGTTCCCTAATCCACTCTGCTCTCTTCTTGTCTCTTAAGGTTACACCTACCATTTTTCTTTCCATTGCTCGCTGCGTCGTCCTCAATTTAAGCTGAACCCTCTTTGTAAGTCTCCAGGTTTCTGCTCCGTAGCTAAGTACCGGCAAGATACAGCTGTTATATACCTTCCTCTTGAGGGATAGTGGCAATCTACCTGTCATAACTTGAGAGTGCTTGCCGAATGTGCTCCACCCCATTCTTATTCTTCTAGTTACTTCAATCTCGTGGTTCGGCTCTGCGGTTATTACATGCCCTAAGTAGACATAGTCTTTTACAACTTCAAGTGCACTATTACCTATCTCGAAGCGCTGCTCCTTGCCGAGGTTGTTGTACATTACTTTCGTTTTCTGCAGATTAATTTTAAGACCCACCTTTCTGCTCTCCTTGTCTAACTCCGTAATCATGAGTTGCAATTCGTCCCCCGAGTTACTCAGCAATGCAATGTCATCGGCGAAGCGCAGGTTATGAAGGTATTCTCCATTGACTCTTATCCCTAACTGTTCCCATTCTAGGCTTCTGAAAATCTCCTGTAAGCACGCGGTAAATAGCATTGGGGAAATTGTGTCCCCCTGCCTTACACCCTTCTTGATTGGTATTTTGTTGCTTTCTTTATGAAGCACTATGGTAGCAGTTGATCCCCTGTATATTTCTTCCAGAATG